CTTCGCGATTACTTAGATAAAAACGCCGAGTATGCAAGGAACATATGTACTTACATGGTGCAAGGCATCGGTAGTGTATAGTATTTACTTATTATACCAGTTATTTTGAAAATTATTTATCTTCAGTTATTTATACTAGGTGACAGGATTACGCTTAGCAAACTTCAACTCGATCAAAAACACTTTTACAAAGTCTTGCAGATTAAGTCGGCAAAACTTCCATTTTCATTTGATGAAGTCGAAAAATACTTGGAAGTTTTTGAATTATTATACGCATTAATTGTAAATATTCTTTATACACTTTATTAGATCTTATTTTTTTAGTCTAATTTATATTTTTATTCACAGAGCGAATTGAAGAATACACAAAAGGAGTTGAAAAAACTAATGTGCTCAAATTCAGTTGTAGATCAGCCAACAGTGAGAAGTTGGTTATGGGTACCGAACAATATTGCAACATGGGAAGGTGTTGGAATAACATATGAAGATTAATATGTTTGATTTTAACCATTTATTAAAATAAAGTCTGATAACGGATAATGTACATATCGAAACCTCAGCCCGTATGATCACTTGATATATTATTAATTGATCGGATACATGTTATACATTCTCCAGCGAAACCATTATTATTATTTTTAAATGAATATATTGAGACTAAGAGACCGGCTAATTAAACGATATAAATGATTGAGTAGATCACGTTTAAAGGGAGGAAAACACGCCGGCTCCTGGGCCCCTAGCAAATCGATCCATCTCACTACTCAATATTACTACCTAAGTTATTTGTTTTCTATCGATCCATAAACCAATTTGATCTATCATAAAAGCTTTGTACCGTCAACTTCTTAATATTCCCTCCAAGTTTACGAATGTCTATCGCTACAGTATGGCACATCTCTTCCAAAGTGTATTTATTTTCGGTCTTGATCCGATCAAAAATTCGCTTAAAGTTGGCCCAGGTGGTTAAGCTGATACCCGTGAACGATAATTGACCTGAGCTTGCAGAGGAATGATCTGAAGCTTGACTCGCCACGCTCTGTTGATCGGATGCGTCAGATGGGTTTGAAGGACTCGTTCGATTTCATCGAGTCTTGCAATAGAAGTATACTGTAAATTAATGTCAAAATTCTTATTTCGGAAGAAGTGCCTGGATCTCTGCTGTAAATCTTTCATCACGAGTGGTAAGACTTTCATTCAACGCACAGAAAGATCGGCGTTATGCTTGCCTCTTTTTTTCAAAAAATTTCTTTTTTAATAATTTTTTTTAAAAAAGTGAACCAGTCTAAATATACAAGAAAGAATAACATATTCTTCAAATCAAGCTATCAAGCACTTACAACATATATATATCAAACTATCTAAAAATATCAAAAATAGAGGTATACATTGTTTTACTAATTCTTTTACTTCTTTTTTTTTAAAATTTTTTCAGAAAAAAACCAAAGAAACTTGAAACCTGATTCACAGTCAAAAAAAGAGAGCCAATATTAAGTTAATACAGCTTACAGTTAGATCAGTATATGTTAATATTTTTTTGATACTACAAGAAACTCAAAACCCATTTGATAAATTAAGTTGTTTCAATTATCTCAAGGTTTAAAAAAATACCAATTAAAAATACTGTAGGATAGTCTAAATATAAACATATACCAAAACAATATATCTATCTCAAATATTGTCATATAAATACAAATACATAAAAATAGATAGACAAAACAAGTACATATACATATAACTTATTATCATAACAAGTTTATTGACTTTCTATATAAATATAATAACAACTTTCAAATTAGAATAGAATTATCAATATAAAAATAAATAAATAGATTTAAACAACAAAACAAGATTTTTTCATATTTTTAAAACAATTATATTTAAATAACAATATCATAAAATAAATTTATTTATTTTTTAAAAAAAATTCTTTTTGCTGATTCTTTTTTATTTCTTTACTAATAAGGTCTTAATACTATCTTTAAACTAATCTAAAGTTTTATTTCAAGAGATATTCCCAAACCCCCTCTTTTATTTATATTTGTCTTCAAACAAAAACTTGGCTTTCTGTGATCTAAAAAAGTCAAGAAACATCTTCTTTATCTATGGCAAAAAAGTTTTATAAAAAAGAAGAACTAATAGTGCAGTACTTAAAACTTTTTATATTAAAGTATATTTATAGAGGTTTTGCACAGTAGAAGGTGATAAACATCAAGCCATATTATCAAAATATCTACCCATTATTATTTTTCTCTTATAGTTACCCAAATTTTTTGATTTTTTGAGGAATTTTGCCTATCTCAATTTAATTCTAAATTTTAAATAATGCAACCTATTGCAAAATATAATTGATAAATACAAAATACATTAGTAGTTAAATGTAAACAAGTTTTTATTGATCAGCTTATACATTCTGATGATATTATTAGTAATAAAAAGTTTATTAATGTCTTGTTTCTATCCCACTCTTTCAATTGGATTAATCTACAGATCAAGTTCTATAAGATTAATAAGATATAAGCAACAAGTTTCTAGATAATAAAAAAGCTACTATTTGTTTAAATTGAAATTTTTTTCTTTTATCATTCCAGTTAAGCAAAGTTCAAGACCAAGATATCTTTTTTATTCCAGTTAAGTAATAAGATCAAATAGTCTCTAATTTATGCCAAGCTTAAACTCTTTGGTTACAGTTGAGAATGCATTTTCAAAAGTTGTTAAAGAACATTGTAATTTATGAGAATCCCGACTCTGCAATACTCTTCTACTATTATAAGGTAAAAAGATTATTGGGAATCTGACTTTTTAGATAATGGAAGATTTTCATTAGTAAAATTTCTTTAATTAAGTGTTATTGTTGAAAAATGTCATATTGAAATAATATGATTTAGCCTCTACTGAATAATATAAGAACCTAAAGTCTATTATAAGTCACTGTTTACTATAGATAAATAAAAAATTACTATTCAAAAAAGGTTGGGACAAAGTATATTTTAAAAGTAAAGGCTTCTTCTAGGCAATAAGTCTTCTCAGACAATACATAAAAAAAAATCAAGATCAAGAATAGATAAGTTTCTTAGATAGTCAAAATAAAAAATAATATTCCAATAATGTATTTCTTATTAAGAAGAAGTCTTAAGAAGCAAGTCTTTAAAGAAAACTTAAAAATTTTATTTCTTTGTCTTATTTTTATTTTCTTATAATCTATTTAGATATTTTTTTATATTTTTTTTTCTCTTTTATCAACTCATCCTTTTGTAGTTTTCTATATTCCAGTGGCTTGATAAATAATTGGCAGTAACAAACTATTAGAAGTAATAGACTAAAAGAGTTTTTATCCAAAGTCTACTATGGAGTGAAATATTGTTTTCAAGGTTAAACTTAGAGTAGATCCAAAGCAATACTATAAATAGTATAGAATAGAAAAGAAAAAGTATTAGATATTTTAATTAATTAGTAAAATAATATAATAAAAGAAATAAAATGTGGACAATATAACAAATACTTCAACAAAAAGAAGAAATAATTATCAATTATGTTCAAATATCCTTATCCAAAATATTTATAGTCTTAAATAATATAAAAGTTAGAATATTAAAAGTGAATAAATTAATTTTTTATAAAAAACACATTCTAATTCTCTATATTATATATATATAGCAACAATATAAAGAGAGAAAGAAGATTTACAACAATAGTTTATAGAAGATAAATACTTGAATATTATCAAAGGTATTAATATAAAGAATAACAAAAAAAAAACAAAATAATAGCCAACCTATAAAAATAATTATAAATATAGAAGATAAACAAATAATAAAAAGTAAGTCAATAATATCTATAGATAATAAAGAAAAGTTAATAACAAAGAAATTTAAAAAAAAATACAGGACTCAATAATTGCAAAACCCAATATTTATTTTATCCAAAATTGATAAGAAGCCATAATAAACAATATCTCTTTTTGAAACTAAAGCTCAGTCATGTTTATTAACTTTAATAAAGTAATATAAAAATTAATGTAGAGATTACAAAAGTTGTCATATAGAACTATATATCATTTATATTACTAAACTCTCTAAAACCTGACCTTTAATGGCTTTACTAGGGGCTTATTGCCTAGAGATATCTTATTGGATTAAATTTTTATTACTACCAACATTTAGAAAAAAAACTAGACACCTCTTATTGGATCTTTAATTCTTCTGAATCTCTCCTAACTAACATGTTATAATGAATTTGCTAGTTTCAGAAAAGAAGAAGTTCATCTTTCTTTTGATTCTAATAATTATAGTCTGTCACTAATATCGAGTGTATTCAGAGAAAGAGTATAAGTTTAGTAGTATTTTTTGTGTTATATGAGTGTAAAAAAATTATTTGGATCAGAATATAAAAATCCTGAAGTAATTTTGGAATGGAAGAATGGTTGTGTCTTTATGAGTAGTATGAGTTCTTGAAGTTCCATTTAATAGAAGAGATATTTATTCTATAGTCATAATACTTTCAGAAAGTAATGAAAGAGAGAAAACCACAGTCCATGTGATATTTATCCATCCATTTCTCTAGGATATAACTTATAATGGACCTAAAGTTCTTATAGAGCTTAGGAAATATATTTGTATCAAGTGTCATATGTATTCTTGTTTACATTTTTGCTAACTATAAAGCAACCAATCCCATATTCAACCAATCAATCTATCTAAAATCTAATGTAACAAAAAATTCAAGATCAAGCTAGGATAGATAAAATTACACAGAAAAATCAAGAAAAAATTGTTACACACTATAAAAGAAATTATTTCTATCTGTATTAGGGATATCAGTTTCCCAGGCTAACATGAAGTTATTAGTTCACACTTCTTCCTGGACTTTGAAATCTCTATAGGAAAGAGAAGAAAAATATTTTTTTGTCTAATTTCTTCTTTCTAAAAAAGCTTTCTTGCAATTAACTTCTTAGATAAAGGGTTTTTGAAAAGGAAAAGTAAATAAGAAGGGTAGAATATAATTACTACAAAATGAAATAGGTTTTTTTAAAGAAAGTTTTGAAGTTTTATTACTCTCAAAATATAAAGTTTTGAAGGAACTTTTCTTTGGAAGTGGTGATCAAAGAACTATAAAAAAGAGTTTAATAATAACAAACAATATCTATTACATATATAAAAAAAAAGACATAAAATTGAAACCATGACAATCAATATTTTAAGAAAAGGCAAAATAGAAACAATTGTATATACTGTATATGTAAATTATTAAAGCTACTAGCAAATTAAAAAAATCTACTATACCTAAAATTCTTAAATAAAAATAAATAAATAACCTTTTATATTAATGAAGAAGAAGAAAAAAAAAACCTTTTTCACTTGCATCCAAATTTTTGAAAATTTTCTTTTATGGTAACAACTCAAAGTTCACAAGAAAAAATCCACACTCGCAAAGAGCTACAATAATGAACATAGCATCGAGACTGAGAAAGAAGAACAATACAGTTAACTATA